GCCGAGGAGGCGGTGTGAGCACAGTCTGCTTTGCAACCGCGAAGTGTAGTAAAGATGGGATATGTGCTCGACCGGGCCGGGTTTGAGTGACCGTGTAACCTTTTTGCAAACATGAAGAGCTATAAGGAAAGCGCAGACAAGTTTTGTCCTGCTCTCTTTGCAGATGCTGGGGAAGAGGATGGAGGCGGGGGCGCCCGCAGCGTGGGTTCGTTGTCTCTTTACCAGGTCGAGAATTCCAGAGTCGGTATGTGTGTGCTTCAGTATTATAGAGACTGAAAAATAGGTATTAGCCTGCTTAATTTTGTGTTTTCTGTGGTATGACAGATTTGTAGAGGCTGTGGAATAAGCAGGTTCATGGTGGGATGATTGAAGAACTGGCTGAAGGGCAGAGCCCAAAGGGTTGTAGTGAATGGGTCCCCAGCCGCGTTCCTCGGGGTTCAATTCTAGGGCCCGTTCTGGTCAATGTTTTTGTCAAAGATCTGGATGCAGGAGTTGAATGCACCAGTAGCACGTTTGCTGAGGATACCAAACTGGGAGGTGCAGTTGACCGTCTCAAGGGATAAGATGCCTTGCAGAGGGCTCTACATAGACTGAAGCATTGGGTTGTGATTAATGGGGTGAAATTTAATGATTTGAAATGCAGGATTCTGCACCTAGGACAGAGTGACACCAGGCACTAGATGTTATAAAAGCTAAATTTGAGGTCACTTGTTGATGCTTTGACTCTTTGAGAAGAAAGGTAGTTAAATGTGGTTTTGTGAACTCCTGATTCTAGGTATTTCAGCCACGGCCTGGAGATCATGAAAAGTATGGAGGTGACCCTGAGCAGCCCCACAAAATCCACGTTGTTACTAGAATTAAAAGTGTAATTGGTCGCCCCTATTGGGAAAAGAAGATAATACGTGATCTTGGATTGGATAAAGTATGACTGTTGGTCTTTATACTTATTGTGTATATCAGAAATGTAGAGATAAGGTAGAATTAAGGTGGTGTTTTTCTTAAATTTTTCTCAATTTTGCAGTCATAAAATGTGGATTGCTTTAGAGCGGCTATAAAGGTAATTGAGAAATTGATGATGTGTTTAAGAGCCAAGAGAAATGTCAGTGGAAATCAGCCTTTTAGTAGGAATTCAGAATATCACTGTTTGGTATTGTTCTGCATGCCTAAGGTGAACTTTATCTTGACACTTCTGCTAAAATGATAAAAGTAAATTTGTAAATACTTTGAATTCAGTTTATTCTAGGTCATATTATTCTAATATTATAGGTACATGAATAAGACTTCTATATTAATGAAAAGCCTTCCAAATCCAAGCATCTTAAAGAGTTTATGTCAAAGATGTGTTTATCCACATGCACATTATGTAAAGATTCATCTAGTCAGTGTTACATTACAGAGAAAAAATGCGTGCTTGATCAATTTATGATCTAACTGAAGGAAAGAGTCTTACCCCTGAACTCCCATATTTACACTTATAATACTTTTAACAGCTGGAAGAAATTTCAGTATATTGAGAATGTAATATGAATGAAGCTGAATTTATCAGTTTACTGGAATAGAGTTTGATCAAGTTTTTATTCCATATTTTATGTTCTTGGTGCATGAGATTTTTTAGTTATTATATTTGCAAATGTGGTTTATAATTTCACTGACAGTATGAAAAGCTGAGTGATCAGAGATTTGGGGTTTGGCAATGCATTTGAAAACCTGTTCTATCCTTTATACAGGCACATCAGCCGACACTGCACAAAAATATCCCTTCTGTGAATTCCAAACTGAAAGTTGTTAAACATCTGATAAGGTTTGTTAACTATTTGCTTAGTTTGGAGCATTTAATGTAAATGTTCTAGTCATAGGCCTTCACTAAGCAAACTCTTTTGCCTGTAGAATACAGCCCCTGAAACTACCTTACGGGTTGCCAACAGAAGAGGAAATGTCAGACACCTTTCTTACAAGCAAGGGAGAGCTCGTCATTAAACGGCATCTGAAACCTGTGGAGCAGAAAGCAATTAAGTCATAAGGTGTGCTGGTTGGATTATGTAAAATAAAATAGATTATTTAAATCCTGGGTTAAGATTTTGTGTATGAAATGTAAGCTTAATTCTTCCCCTCTGGTATGAATGGTGAAAGTGACACTGATGCTTAAAGAAGTGTGTACAAATGTAAAATTCAATTTTGTTATTAGTTGCCCCAAATATTAAGTGCATGATAGGCCTGTGTCCTTATGTTTTAATTCTGTGGCTAGATTTCTGCAATTGATGGATTGCTATTAGAGAACTTTGTAAATAAAATCAGAGAAATAAGTAGAATAGATCTAACTAATGATGGTGAGGATATTTCCCAGCTAACAGTAAAAGGTTTGCAGTGATGGTGCATGACTTCATCTTTGCTGCACAAAGGAAGGAAGTGGAATTGAAAAGCCCACTGCTTAGCAGTTACATGAGAATTGACTGGCTATTCACCAAGAGTGTCATTTGATTGACACAGGCTTTTCATAGAATTATAGAATGGTTTGGGTTGGAAAGGACCTTAAAAATCATCTAGTTCCAATCCCCTGCCATAGTCAGGGACACCTTCCACTAGACTAGGCTGCTCAAACCCCCATCCAGTCTGGCCCATCCAACCTTTAGGGTTGCTTGTTCCGTAGCAAACAGTCTGTCACATGGCTGCCTCTGTAGCTTAAAAATACCTGAACTCCCCACTTGGGCTTAGCAGAAGGAATGATTCACATCATGGTAACTTATATAATTTGTTTTTCGGGGAACGTAGTATCTCACTTTATATGTATATTTCTTGATCCTAACTGTTTAATTGTAATAGTAGCCTAAGAGTTGCAGTCTGTGTAAGTTGATGTTTTTCCTGTTCTAAAATTGTAGATGTTAGAAACCTGGAGACCCTGAAGCACGCTTCTTCAGTGCAAGTTAGTAATGGTGGGCTGCAAGCTTATACCACCTGTTACTGAAGGATTTTGAGTAGTACTGTGTGCATATTTTTGTTTACAGTTTTAAGAATTGTGGCCAAAGTTAGGAAGCTGCTGCTGTATCAAATGATAAAGCAGTGTTCATGGCAGTGAGCATAAATGCCATAGTTTAACACACTGTGAGCCTCTCCCACGCCACACACACTGTAGAGAAGTTAATCTTAATGACTGTATGTTATGAGAAGATTAGAAGGATACAGTCACTGAAAATGAACATTTATCCTTTCTGCATGCTTCCAGAGAAGAGTAAACACCAGTAGGAGTTCAAAGGAGCAGACATATCAGTACGTAAAAGCTGGAGACACTGTGCAGAAGAAAAAGGAGGATAGGCTATAGTAGTGGCATTGAGGAGTGGTTCAGTGGCTCCTACAGGCAGGCTGAAGGCATAAATGCAAAGCTGAGCTGAAAAACCTCTATTTCTCAACAAGCTATGGGCTGTAGTTGGAAGGACATAGAAAATATTGGTGTCAGTCTGATGTGTATAGAATAGCAAGGAACAAATGAAGCAGATAAATGAATGTTGCCTTCCTGAACCTGCATAGCATCTTGTGCTGCTGTGTGTTAAAACTACGATCTCTGTGTGATGTTGATGATGTTCCCACAGGGAGGTACTTGGTACAAGCTGAAATTTCAGCCCTTTTGAAGAATGAGTGCAGTGCATCTAAGGTACAGGGCGTGCTTAAAAGATAGCACAAGTACTGGGGCCGAGAAAATGATGCTAATGGGTCTTTTTGCTGAGGGATAGCAAATTTAAGACTTGTACCACGACTGGTGGCCCAGAATGGCCCAGCCTTACCGAGCATGTTCAGGATTTGTCGGCGGCACTGCAACCTGATGAATCTCCAACAGAGGGAGCGCTGACAGTTCTGTCGTACACAGTGTGTGTGTGAATATGAATCTGTTCTATTCATTACGTTGTGCAGGCGCTACAAAAGTACTTCAGTGTAAACCAAAGAGAATGTGTTAATGAATAAGCTTGCTTGGTACTGTGCACATCTTAAGAAGTGTGTGATAAACTACTAATTTAGAGCAGAGCTAATAAATGTTTCCCAAGTACAGAGAAGAGAATGCTTTAGATAGTACCTGTTATTTCTGGGTAAGATTTAACTACAAGAGATATTTACAACCATCTTTGACAAGTTGGCAGTTTTAATGAAAAACAGTATTTTCTTGAAATGTTTAATCTATGTGTTAGCATGGGAATTTCTTAAATGGTTTTTCCTCCAAGGTCACGACTGCCATATAGTCAATCTGCTGTCCCAAAGCTTCTCTGATTAAGCATACGTGCTCTAAAGATTTGCACTCTGGTCTAAAAGCTGAACCAACAGGGTGCGCAAACTCAGTGTGTGTGTCCACATCCTTTCATTAATGGTGCATTGTAAATGTTTCATGTAAATCTTCACAAAGCACAGGTAAGAGAGCAGGGAGCACGCAGGCCGACTTAGGACAGGAAAATTCAGGTTGGAAGGTACCTCGCAAGGCTCTAGTCCAACCTCCTGCTCAGTGCAGGGCCAGCACTGACGTCATAGAATCATAGAATGGTTAGGGTTGGAAAAGTTGCTCAGGACTTTGTCCACCCAGCTCTTGAAAACTTCTGAGGACAGGGACAGCTCAGCCTCATCTGGACAGTTTGCTCTGCTGCCTGGCTGTCCTCATGGGGAAAGGTTATGTGCAGAATACAGTCTTGTGTCCAGTCTGGATGTCTCTTGTTTCAGCTTATGCCTGTTGTCACTTCTCTTCCCATCTCGCACTACTGGGAAGAGCCATGCTGGCTCTATTCTCCTCAATTATCCCTCACAGGTAGGTGCTGTGGGGCTGCTGTTAGGTCCACCTGTCCCTTCTCACAGGGCGATTGCTCCAGCCCCAACCACCTTGGTGGCTCTCTGCTAAGTTCTCTCTATTTAATTGGTCTTTTCTGTGTTAGGGGGCCCAAAACTGGATGCTGTGGTTTAATAAGGTGTGTAATCCCTTCCCTTGGTCAAGCTGTGCTGTTCATGCAGCTCAGGGTACTGTTGCTTGGGCACAGAGCTCGCTCACATTGAGCTTGCTTCTTGGGTAGGAGCCATTTGCCATGTCTACCTGCTGTAGCATTTAAAGTATATTCAAACAAATCTTGGTGCAATGTGTGGTAGCAATGTGGAAATAGGCTGTTTTAAGAAGAAATTTCTGTTTCTGCACTATTGCTCTGTTGCAGGTTCACTTACTGTTTCCGGTTTCATAGTTAATACTGTAGTGTGAGTAGATCAATTCTAATAATAGCATCCTGATACTTTTAATCACAGGTACAAAATGCTAGCTATAAAAAAATGCACCATATTTGAAACAAATAAACAAACAACCTTCCCTGTTTCCTTTAGGGATCTCCCCTGGATCTCTGCCCCGGTTCTTCCTCTTTTTCTTCCGCTTCCCCTTCTCCCTCTCCTCCTTCTCCTTCTGTCTTCTCTGCTTCTTATCCATGGGGTAGTAAAGTACAAGCCTGATGGGGGCTGGAGTTGTAACAAAATTGGATCCCAATGCATGCAGCAAATGTTTAGGGATTGTATGGACAAGCACACAACTTGGCAAACAAGTGAGGCATGAATGTAGGCATGAATAATGAAGCAAGATCCCCCACTAGCCAGGCCCCTGTGGTGCATAGCGGGTAATTAACCTGACTATATGTAGCTGCAGCCTACAGGCCTCTGTGCTTAGTTAAAAGAAAAAAAAAAGCTTTTTGAAACAAGATTTTTTTTTATCTAAAGAATAAAATTAGAGCAATTAATCTCTTCATTCCCAAGAGAGCACTGGGAAGCAAGCAGCTGTTTTACAGTGCAAAAGCCGCTTGCTCATGTCCTGACACCAGGGTCCTTCCCTGGTGCAGGGAGCTGACAGCCAGGTCAGCTTTGTTGTGGCCAAAGAGTTGGCTGAAAGGTTCAGGAGGTTGCCTTTCAGTGAGGTCACTGCTGCTCTTCTGACTTTCTGCTGCAAAAGAAGGATGTGGTTTGTGTTTTTAAGAAGGTTGATCATACCTGCATTAAACCAAATTCATTTCTGTGATCACCCCAGACGTCCTTCGGCACTATCCCTGTGTGTGACTCTTGAAAGATAATACCAGCAATCAGTCACAGCTGGATCAACACACTGGCTGTTCCCAACTTCTGTAATCTTGACTTGGTATTCTTCCGTGTCTTCCAAATCTTTTTCTGCAGTCTTCTCTGTCACTGCCCACATAGCCAATGGAGAAAGGTACCTCCAAAAGTTGGGTTTTCTGTTCCAAAAGAAAAAAATATCTGTGAGAGTCAAAAGAAATCCACTACTTCCTGGCTCCAGCTTGCTTTTCCATAGCTACCATCAACAAGAAGAATGAAAAAGACGCATTCTTCAATTACATCCATTACAATTTATCTGACTTGCAGTTTGTTTGACTTGCCATTTATCTGTGTTTTTCTATTATCTAAACACGCTGCTGCAGAAGGAAGAACATGCAAACAGCAACCAGGAGGAGCAATGCTAACCTGATCCCAGCAGCTAATGAAAAACAGACTTTGGTACAGTGAATCATTTACATGAGTATTAGGCAAACATCACAGACCTGACATATTTGCTGCAGGATGCCTTCCCCCATCTCACCGTGCTTCCTGGAGACAAATGGGCTTTTTATCTGCTGGCAGCATTTTGGAGCAGCTGGCTCAGTGCACTTCCCACATGCTGCTGATATTACGGGAAACAGGAATGCCTGACAACTTGCTGTGCATTCTCCCAAACACAACAGGGTTTCTGCTCTACAGCACAAACACAATTACGATTTTAAAAAAGAAATACCTTTCAAGTTAAACCCTATTGTTAACAGTTTGGAATTAGGAGGAGCCTCGCCTGAAAAAACTGTCCCCCTTCAGCTGTTGGAAGCAGTAACATATTGACAGTTGGGAAGCAGGGACCTGCACTTTGGGATGTAATAAAGTTTTTGCAGGTGAAGACCCAGCAACACTTGACATGACACAGAGCTGCAACTGATGCTAATTTGGATATGCAGAGACTATGCCACATCCTTATTATACCTGCTTGTACAGCAGTGACAAAGGTGTAAGCATAAACCCAAATTATCAGGCGACGTG